AACTTTAACTCTTCACTCCACAACGTTTTTTGCTTCTGCTTTGCACTATTACAATTATTTTTATTCTTTTATTTTACTCTATATTTCTTGTTTACTCTATACTTATTATTTACTCCATATTTATTGTTGTGTTGTTGCACCAACCCACCAGAACAAATTTCTCGTGTTGTGTAAACTATACCTGGCAATAAATCTGTTCCTGACTCTGATTTTGATTTTTCTCTTTTGGGAATCCTTGTCCAAATTCAGGCCTCAGGTTTGCAAGCCAAAGGCCACAGCAGCAGCAAGTATCACAGGCTCCATCTGATTCCAAACATCAGACTTTTTGAACAATAAAAACAGTCATTTTTAGTGAATTATTTATGTCAGTCGAAGCTAGTACAAGAAACGAATCTCGATATGACATAAAGCCCCAGGAGATGAGGATAAAATCTGCTTTCAGAAATATGTTATCTATAAATGTGCATCTTGTCTTTAAGCAAAGTTCTCAGCTGACTTGATGTGCCTGAAAAACTCTGGAAAAAATTATATTTGTAGTGTTAAAGTCTTCTTTCATGTATTGTGCACAGAGCTTAAACACATAAGCCTTGACTTAGAGCGGATTGCTTGGTAAATGTACAGCACAGAGAGCTGCAGCTACTTTATGTATACTTGGATTTTTGAGGGAAATGTATCATTTGTCATCTTTAGAAATCATGCACATGCACAACTGTGAGTGGGATTTAGTCAAGTGGGCTGTTTCCTCACAATATGCTGACTTTTGACCCCAAAATCCTTTTTTTTTTTTTTTTTTTTTTTAAGCACAAGATTTCCTCATCCTCTACGTATGTCATACTACTGTGGCCACAAACCACAGCTATGGCAGCAGGTCTCATACTTGAAATGGGAACACCTTGTTAGTTGATATGCAGCTTTTCAACTGGTATGTTGTTTGCTTGTATTCTAATCTAATTTCATATCGTTATTGCAATTTATTTCTTTGCCTACAGCATATAACAAATGCAGGTAGCATGTATTGTTTGTTTGTTTGTTTGTTTGTCTGTGTTAGCACGTGCTTAACTGAGCCCCCTCTTACTTTTATGTCGTGGACACAAAAACTTTTAATGTGTCACGTAGTGACAATCAATTTTATTTTGTTTTGTATGTCTTAACAAGGAGAAAAATGTAAAATGAAATCTGACAATATGAAGAGACTTGGGGCTGCACGGTGGGGCAGTTGGTAGCACTGTTGCCTCGTAGCTAGAAGGTCGCTGGTTCGCACTGGAATCTTTCTGCGTGGAGTCTCCATGTTCTCCCCGTGCAGCGTGGGTTCTCTCTGGGTTCTCCAGCTTCCTCTCACAGTCCAGAAACATGTTGAGGTTAATTGGTGATTGTAAATTGTCCGTAGGTGTGAATGTGAGTGTGCTTGGTTGTCTGTCTCTAAGTGTAGCCCTGTGATAGACTGGTTACCTGTCCAGGTGTCCCCTGCCTTCACCTTGAGTCAGCTGGCATAGACTCCAGCCCCCCACAACCCTAGTAAGTATAGATAATGTATAGATAATGGATGGATGGATGAAGACTACTGCCATTCCTCTTACCCCCACTCAGCTAGATTGAATCCCACCTTTACAAACCATTTTATTAGGGAATTTCATTCTATTTCTATGTAGAAAAAGAGAAACCAACAGTGACTGAGCTAAAAAATGGCATTAACCTTTCCCCTTATTTCCCACTGTTTCTAAGGTGAGCCATTTAGAATGAGCAGTCACGAGAAAAGCACCACAAATGTTCTGCTTTTGGCTACAAAGGTGACCACAAGAGTCTTCATACACTCCCAAAAGTTCATTGTTGCACTTCTTGTACACTGAAAATAGCACATTTGAGGGATAATTAGATAATTAGGCGTAGAAGAAACTTTTAGACTGATTTTAAACCAATAAACTAGTACTGGGTTGGTTATTTAGTTTTTAATGGTTGTTTTTGTGCTTCTGTACAATCAAAACTCAGTTGGTCCTTTATACTTGTTTGCTTCTGTCCTGGGGCCTGTACTACAAAGTGAGATCAACATACCCACGATATCTGTCAGAGATCCGGCTTGACCAACCCTCACAACTGCACTCAGGATAACCGGTCCTACGACGGTGGTTATTAACTCAGTAAATCAACCCAGGGTTGTCTGATCTGAGCGCGTGCACGTAAAATGGGTGGCATTATCGGCATCTGACCAATCACGACTATGGACAAGTCTGGCTGCAGAGCGGCGCACTTTGTCACCGAGGAGCAGAATATAATCTTTACAAGATATGAAGAATAATATAAAAACATCATAGGAGCAGAAAGCAGCAGCGTTGCAGCAGCCAAAGCCAGGAAGGAATGCTGGCAGAAAACTGCTGACTGTGTGAATGAATACGTTCATTAGTTTATAATAAAATATGATCACTGTTCCATCATGAAGGCACGCATCAGACAATAAGCACATGTGAGGATTCCTTTTAACTAATTTGCTGCCTAGTGTATATACTTGTGGCATAGCTGACATTTTTTTTTAACTTTCAGCTGCAGCCCTGGTGGTGTAAAAAGGACGAGGGAACAAACTAAGAACAAACAGAAACATAATTCAAAGCAGTGTAGCTTATAAACGTATCCTACAAATACAAGCTTTAATGCTAAAATCAGTTTACTGCTATGGGGTGATACTGGTATGGAAAAAATATGAAACAGCTTTGACACTGCCTGTAGCCAGGAAAAAAAATGAATGAAGGACAGGAGCTCATAGAGATCCTGGTCAGGGTGCGCTGTTTTGTTGGTCCGAAAAAATCTCACACTTCTCAGTGATCCCCTCACAATTCATGCTCCGATGTGCAGCGGGTCTTCAATAAATGCCAGTGATGCCATTTTGTTGAGAAGTGCTTCATTTTCTACTCCTTCTGAAGTTTTACGGGCGAGAACTGACTTTCAGTGGGCGGTGTTTTTAAACCAGTGATCTCAACCTGGAACAGAACCTGCTGTGGAGCCGGTTAGCCATTCAGCGTGTTACCATGGTGATGTACCCCGGTAAGAAGTGAACCACCATCGTAGGACCGGAAACCCAGGATTCAACCTGAAGTTACCTCGCTAACACCAAATCCTGCTTTGTAGTACAGGCCCCTGCTCACCTGAGATCTGCTTCACTGAGTTATTCACACACTGACATGAAGTAGGGCACATCAAAGAGAATCACATTGTTGCAGAGTATGTCATCACTCATAACTGAACTGTCCAGCTAGTTAATCATGATAAGTTAATCCTCTGTATACCATCTGATTAAAGGAAATAACTTTTATTGATGGGGTGGCTTTTTGTATCGACAAAGATGAAATTCCACTGCAGCAAAACCATAAAGCTCCATTTGAATAAATATTTCTTGATCTTCAAAGAAACCGTCCCTTTGGTCTTGTGAAAACATTCCCATTTTGGCTTTACGTATAAACTTGCCGCCATCTTGAAGCCCACTTTTTGGAATATCCCGGATATAGTCAGAATTCCATCCTGGACCAAGGGTATTATAATAAAGAGGCAGCACTGTACTGGTTTCACACACTCATTCACACCTGTGCTTGCTGCCGGGTGATCAGTCACTAATGCAGAGAGAGTCTTCTTACTGAAGGGGTAGTGGACAGAAGCAGCTCAACTGCATGTAAAGGTACACACACTGAAAGCACACATTTAGAACAGAACTAAAACCAGGAATTAAACAGTCATAGTGAGATCTTGACAGTATTTTGAGCATGTGAGACTTTCATGAATTTGCCAAAAAAAAAAAGAAAGAAATATTGGACCTTTAATATTCAGCACGAAATAACTAAGTTTGAATCAGTTTTTTTCATTTTTTGTCATAAAATAAAATGTTAGTATGCAGTGTATTACAGAGGAATTTCTTGGTAAAACTGTTGATAGTCTCTTTACATCCTGACAAAATTCTAAATATCATTTTGCTCTGATAATAAAATGTAAACCAGCATGTTGTCTGTGGTAGTCACAGGCCTGCAAAAAGAATGTCCAATCATTGCATTCGTTCCGTATGGGATGGTTGAATGGCTGCCTGTTTTACTACATACCTGCCAACCTGCACACTCTCTGGCCATGCATTCAATGCTTGACACCGGATTCTTCCACAAGAGACACTGCTTGAGCTAGCGAGCAGAAAACACAAGAATGGCTGATAAAGTGCAGGCACATTTTAAAGTGCCACCGAAACCTGCAGCATCTCATGCTGCTAGTGCCAAATGATTGTGTCCACTTGTGTATTTGTGTGTCTTTCAGTGCTTTTTGATTTGTGCTTGTTTGCTGCCTGTCAGCATTGTAGCCCAGTTCTGAACAACTGTTTGGTTATTTATTTTACATTAGTCTATATTGACTTTATAGATTGTATTGAATATTATACAAATGTGCTGATGTAGTCTTATTTGTGGACTTTTAGACATGATATAGTTTTAATGTGCCATGTATCTCTTGTCAGTGATGCTCAAACAATATTCATCCAACAGCACTCAGACAGCATGTGTTCATGTGTGGTTTTGGAAGGAGATGTGATAGGAGAGGAGTGGTATGATCCAGTTTTGGTTTCTATTATCTTGCATACTCTAGCTTTAAAGTATTACTGAGCTGATGAAGGTCGTGTCATGGTGATCTATCTAGCTAAGAAACAAATCCTCACAGGTCACAGCTGATCTTTGACTTTTACTAACTTTTGCTGTGGAAAGTGATGCATGCGGGTGCATTACTCTTCATATATATGTGGATAGAGATATTTCTCTAAAACAATATGTCATAACCAAAGATAGCCAAAGTCGGTGGGTGTTATTCTCTAGACACCATAAATGTACAAATTTTTGTGGAAATTCATCCAGTAGTTACTGGGATATCTCAGTCTGGACAGTATTAGTGAACCAACAACCAACAAACTGCTATCGCTAACGCCAGCAAACCACTGCATTGTTTATAAGCCACATAACACCAGCATAAACAGACACATAAATGTGTAATTTTTATATCAGTATGAAACTTTTTATTTGTTTACATTTATTTACAATCTTCATAAAAAGAGGTTCTATTAAAAGTGCACTGGGGCAAAGGCAGACTCTGTGCCCCAAAACATTCAAGAATGAACAAAAGGACATTCTCGTACATGACTCTGTAGTTTGTTTGCTCTTCTTTTACACAAAAATTAACGTAAATTACATTTCACAGTTCTCCTCCTCACCAAGGAAACTGGGCCTGCAAATCAAATAAACATGATCAACAATCAGTTAATGGACAATAAACTGTAGAGTGCACGCACATATACTTTCAGGATCATCTGTGCAGATTCTCAGAAGTTTAATTTGTTTAAGTTGCATTTTTTTTATATACCTTTTGGCTGTTAAAAAAGTAAAAGGAAAGATGAGCTTCTTCTTACCTGTTTAAACCAAGGGGTAGCTGGCTGCAGTTGCAACACCACACTGGTTGTTCTTGTTCCTGGTCATCTGGATGTATCCCTGGTTTCCCCATCCAACACCCCAGCTACAGACACACAAGTTACATCAATATTAACATCATTCAAAGAAAATTTACTTGCCAAATGTGAAACTGACTTGTCGTTACAACAGCTCAATATTCTGCATCCTCATAGAAGAAAAGTGATGGTACCGGTTCTCATTAAGGTGTGATTTAAAATGTGATGACATCCGGAGCGGGTTTCATTTTCACCTTATGCTAGCAGCTATAAATAAGATGCCGCTCTGCTGCTGTCTGAGAAATTTTAGCAATTCATCTAGGTATTTACCTGTTCTTAACCAGCCAGTAGTCCTTTCCACTATCGGTACCATAACCCACAGCCAGTACACCGTGGTCCAACTCGGTGCTGCTACAGTCAGGCTCATCATACACTCCTGGAAATACATAGACATTGATTAAACAAAAGAAAAGAAGAACCTTTTCTATTTTCTTTTTTTATTTAATAGAATATTTCTTGGCGGGCTGCAGGGTGGCGCAGTTGGTAGCACTGTTGCCTTGCATCTAGAAGGTCACCAGTTTGCGTCCCGGTGAGGACACCCGGATCTTTCTGCATGGAGTTTGCATGTTCTCCCCGTGCAGCGTGGGTTCTCTCCGGGTTCTCCGGCTTCCTCCCACAGTCCAAAAACATGTTGAGGTTAATTGGTGATTCTAAGTTGTCTGTAGGTGTGAATGTGAGTGTGCTTGGTTGTCTGTCTCTAAGTGTTGCCCTGTGATAGACTGGTGACCTGTCCAACCCTGCCTTCACCCTGAGTCAGCTGGGATAGACTCCAGCCCCCTGCAACCCTAGCGAGGATTAAGCGGTGTATAGATAAAGGATGGATGGATGGATATTTCTTGGCTGCTGCAACACAGCATTTAAAAGTATCCACCTGATTCATAGAGCTGGAAGGATAGTGAAGAAGCATCGATGCCGATAGATACTGGTCCAATGGTGGCCACAGCCTCCTTTAGGGCGTCTTCATCACCTTGGTTCACATCAACATAGCCTGTGCATTTGGCGGCAATAGTATCAGGGTTGAAACGGCACTGTCCATCCTAGTTGAGAGAAAATATGTCAAGATTCTGTAAACTTTTTTTTTTCCATACTGACACATTGTGAAGTAGTAAATAAATGTTTGTAAGAGAAAATAAGTGTTTGCAAGTACTGCTTTTTCAAAAGATTTTGAGAGAAAACATTAAAATGGTGATTGTAGACTTTGCACTTAGTCTGTGTTAGGGTTTTGGACCACTATATATTTCGTCCACAAGATGGCAGTATTGAACATCTCTTCCATGGAGGGCTTACTTTGTGTGAATGAGTCCTCCATTCAGCTTTTTACACTCGTTTGATTATGTGACAAACAGTGGATATCGTACATTTAAAGTTCTGACATCAATAAAACATTATTTGCAATACTTTTTCTATCATATTGCTTTCTGTTTACCTGAGCCTCATAGGGGTAGGAGTCCTCACTGTCAATCCCTCCATTGACCTGGACATACTTAAAGGCGTAGTCCATCAGACCTCCCATGCAGCCCATGTTGCCATAGTCCCCAGAGCAGTCCACCAACTGCTGCTCACTCAGAGACACCAGTTTTCCTGTCTTCCTGAAGGTCTGACCCTCCAATGAGCCAGTCTGGAAAAGAGATATGTAAATTTTAAATCAGAGAACAACTGTGCAAAGCTTCTTGCATAACCAGAAGAGAGGAGTTGTTCTTATACGTACAGCACTGAAGGCCCAACAGGAGCCACACTCCTTCTGATCCTTGACATCGGTGACATATCCCTTGTCCCTCCAGTCAACCTTAGTGGGCAGATCAGTAGCTTCAGGCAGTCGGAAGAAGGTAGAGCCACTGCGAGGCAGAGAGGCATTGAAGCTGCCCAGGCAGCCCTGAGAGATCAGCCGTTTGTACTCTTGGTTTTCCTAGTCAAGAGATACAAAATGCAGTTTTACTTACAGTAGGTACTTCATCCAAAATGTGATTCTTAGTGTCCTTGCATAGATGGCAGTGAGCCACATATGGCAAAGGTTAAAAGCTAGATGAGGGCAGAAAAACAACACAGATCTGTTCATCTGCACATACCATGTCAGCAAAGTAAGTCATGCCCAGACGGTGTGACTTGATTCCTTGATCTGCCAAGATGTTATGCACCAGCACGAGTTTGCGGTTCTCAAGCCAGATTTGCCTGCGATTAGCCTCCTCAGACTGTGAGTGGTAGATCCTCCCTGCCAGTCAGAAAGGGAAATAAGACAGTGAGTAGAGGAAATTGTCTGTGATAGATAGTCATTTTACATGTAAGCAAATAAAAGGTAGTCTCTGTTGTCTTACCGTACTTCAGCTTCCAGGCATGAAACTCCAGGTCTTCCAGAGAGATGCTGGCACAGCTGGCAACAGCCAGAACAGCGGCAACAGCTAGCAGCAACTTCATCTCGACTGAACACAAGCAGCAAAAGAAAAAATGCAGAGATCCTTTGTTACTTGCAGGAAACCACACAGGTCGAGGCAGACTCTTTCACTTCAGCTTTTTTACAAATGCTTTCTGTCATGATGAGGGATGTCACTCGCACACTGCCGCTGTATCTGCTCATTTTCCAGTTTCTTTGAATTTCTGTTTCATCTCTGCCTCTGACTCTTTTTCATATTTATGAGTCTGTATTTTCCTTCTTTGCACCAATTTAAGTGCATTACAGAAAGAGTGTGTGTTCGCCTGTGTGTCTTGTTATCTGTGCTGTGGCTACTCACCTGCCTCTGGTTCAGCGTGTGCGGTGATATCTGAGGGACAACCACCTGAAGGTGATCTGAGGTGTCTGAGAGTTCTTATATAGCTGCCTACAGTTATGACTGCTGTATTCCAGTCAGGTGGCTGTCAGCAGGTTATAAAGAAAAAGGCGGAGTTATGTGTTGTGACAAAACCTGCACAATAATTCTTTTGGGAAACTTAAACCTCAGCAAAACAAGGAGCATAAGTATCATAAATAACTCATTTGGAGTTTTAAGTTTTTCCATAATGAGATGATCAGTTAATCATCAATTTTTTGCTTAGGAGCTACAGTCACATGAAGAAGAAACCCGGTCTGTCTGCATTGCATTTACATGAGAAACCACTGATTTTCATGCTTTGTGTTTTTTGCAGTACTCTGATTCTAGCTTCAAAGAGATGGGGATCCTTCGAAAAGAACAAAACCAAATCTGACATGCAGTAACAATAAGCCATGCATGTGCTAATGTGGGCCATCCCCCACATGTTGTAGTTTAAAGCTTAGAAACCAAATGATGTCACGGTGGAAAATATGTAAGTAGGTAGGCGGAGGTGTTTTTATTTCTAGAAAAGGAAAATGGTTGCACTTTAGCAAACACCCACTTACTGAAAGTTTGTTTAAGTGATTTACATGAATGATCAGGTTTTATTAGAAGTGCTATCCCGTCTTTCCCGCTTCAACAAACTCTGGGTTAAAGTATTTTCCCTCTATTAATACAAACAACATCAGCCAACCTTGTTAAAATGCACACATTTGTGCAAATATGCTTCAGCTTCCCACCTCAAAGTTTTGGGGGATTTTGGAGGTTTTGAAATTCTGCAAACACGAACACGGATGCATACACGCACGCATTCCGATAAATTTGATGCTATTTGATTCATGATTCATGAGTCTTTCCAGTTACAGTTGCTTAAGACTTTCTTTCAGTTTCCACACAGATATCCTGTTTCTAAACTTGACTGAAGGGTTTGGTTTGTTGTGCAAATCTTACTTATCTGTCATTGTTAGGAGCATAACAGCAAATAGTAATCCATCATAAAATTGGCTTAAATCAGACTGAATAACAGAGTTGGGCCAAAAAAAAAAAGGACCAAATTAAGGGGCCAATTTTTTTTTCCTTATTTTTTTTTTTTTAGTTTTATTCCAGCAATGATAGAAACAAACAAGTGGAAAAAGAGTTGGTCTTTAAACTCTTGTTTCTAAGCAAGATTGTTGCTTATTTTTCTATGAACATTTCCTGCAGTTCTGTTGTCATTGATGTCTCACTGCCCTCCTGACTGTCTGGATGTCACGAGGTTTTCAGTGTTATGGCAATGCCTCAAAACCATAAAGATGCTGTGAAGTGAGGGAAAACTGAGAACTCAGCTAAAAGTTTACACATGTCATTGACCTCTCCTCAGCTTGTCTTGTGTGTCTGAATGTTTGTTTTCTTTCGACAGCATCAACAGATTGTACAATCAGTAGTGTTTGTACACAAGCTTCCTGTGAGAAAAGTGCAAATAGTTTTCCTGCTAATGAGTGTCTTATATGCTAGATGATACTATTATATATATTCAACTGCAGTTTTGCATCATTTTAATGCTTTATGACCTTTCAAGACTTGCCTATGGAAGTCAAAGCACGGTTAACAAGTGGTGGTAGCAGTACGCAGACCTGTTCCTAGTGTAAAAGAAATACTGCAATATATGACCAAGTTAAAGGCCAGCATTCAAAATTCTACCTCTCATCAGCAAATCATAGTAAAGTTTTAAAAAAGTAAAGTAATGCACTACCAAAAAATGGCCTCTGAGACTGATGTGTATCATGTTACATATTAGACTGGTTGTACTGGCATTTAGGATTACTGTCATGAAGCTAGTCTCAATTACTTTAAATGCTATTAGATAGTAAAGCCCTCCAAAGCTTTAGCAGACAAATCTAAGGGTTTGTAAGATGATTAATGGAGCTGCTACACAAATGTGTATTGCTAAGCTAAGCTTTAAAGTTACGACTATGCTCATATTGTGCTATTTGACGTGAAATCTTCTGAAATGCAAGTACAGCTGTCAAACAAATGCAGTAGAGAAAAAAAATGCAATAAATCTGTGTAGATTTGCAGACATCTAGGGTCATGGTAATCCTAAGTGCTGAGGAAAAATAAAAATATTTGTCCCTTAACTGTAATGAACCAGAAGTACAAAGAGATGCAAAATAGATGTAGGAAGCCTTTGCATGCTTGTCAGCTGCTTTTAGGTTATTCATGGTCATGTTTTATATTGAAACTAAATGAGTCTGCAGTGAACCACGGTAACACACAAATGTCTGTGCAAGTCCAAGCAGTATTCCTGTTTTTGACTTTTTGTCTGAGTGTGTGCCATATGTGAAATTCTGTTAACACAGAAAATGTGTTCTCAGATAAAAGGCCATAGGCTACAATGTCCTATAGTGGCCTTTACACAGCAAGAGAGACTAATGGTGAGTCTGGTGACCCTAGCCCTAACTTTATACAGACATAAAGGTTGTGATTTGCCTTGCGTACTGTAAACCATTTACTACAACAGTCAAGTGATGAGATAAAGTCATGAGTTAGCACAACAGTAAAAACAAGCGTGGAAGGAAAACTTCATGAGTTCATAGATCAAGGTTTGTGTGCACTTGTGTGCATAGTCTTGAGAAAGAAGGAAGGTTAAAGGCTTACAAGTCAATTCTGCAGACTCAAAACTGAAACCAACAAAGTGCATCGAAGACAAGTTTTCGTGATTTCCACCAATGCTTCCACATCGTGTACAGCATGTTTTACTCACGTCATCAGGTTTTATTTGCCAACCACAGCTTGCACATGACAGATCATAACAGTAAACTGCAGGGAAATGTTGTGCATGTGTTGGAAATTTAGGGTGAGTAAAACTATCCCTTGTTTACTGCCTTACACACTCAGTAAGCAGGTTCAGCGGCTGTAAAGAGATTAAAGTAGACTTTACAGAATTTAGGAAAAGTTGAATGACAGTAAACATTTTATGATTTCAGCATTGATTGGATCATATGATCAGCTGGAGGAAATCCAAAAATTTAATTCATATTTATATCAGATATACTATAATTTATCTTCTCTCAGACTGATTTGTTTGATACGATCATGCAAATGTTGATGAGTTTGTATCATCTGACTTCAACCGGTGACCTAATGTGTGTTTATCTTACTGTAACGTGTGACTTAAATTGATGCATGGTGTAGCTGAGAGGGTCAGCAGTTCTCAGAAAATGCTCAGTCATGCTGCAAACTAATGCTTACTTCCCTTGTGGAATTTTACAGTACGATAAGGGGGTTCAAAGAGGGGTTTTTCTCCAAAACTGCTTCTATTCATAATTACGTGCACTGTACTAGCAGGTTTGATTTTTATATTTCTATGTTTTTTTTTAATATGTTCGCTCTGTAGTTGCCAGGCAGCCATATGCACAATTCCAAAATCTTGCATAAAAGACTGATTCAGTCTTGTGGTTACATAACTGGAGTAAACACAAGCTATTTGTGCTGGCTTACTGATAAATCCATATTATCATCATGTTGCATCTGATAACTGTAACTCCTGTACAAAGTGATAATACCGGTTAGATGTTTATGAATGTGATTGTAAACTATTTGTCTCACGGATTCAAGTATTAGAAATAGAATAGAATAGAATAGAATAGAATAGAATAGAATAGAATAGAATAGAATAGAATAGAATATACTTTATTTATCCCAGACCTGGGAAATTATTGTGATACAGCAGCAAAAAGAAAACACTAAATCACAACAAGAAAGAGCTAAAGTTAAATACTATCAAAAAAAATTTTAAATAAAAATAACTGTACAAAATGTGCAAATTTGACAACAGTGCAAAAACAAAGCATTTTACAGAGCAGAGAGCTGAGACAGAGGCAAGGTGTTGTTTAGGGTTATTGCTCTGGGCAGGAAATATTTCCTATACCTGTAGGTATAGCTATTACTTTAACATACAGTTTTTGCTGGTTTTGTGACAACTGGTCATCCTGTAGTGAGACTGAACAAATCCCGCTTCATTTTTATCTGGCTTTTGCAATGTGATAAACACACCAAGAGAGGGCAGCATATCTTTAGGCTTTACTCCGACACTATTTAACTGAACTTCTAGACACTGTTCTCACACAGTTAGATTCATGTCAGCAATACGTGCATCCCATAGTACATGTTCTGCTGCTAATCTGCAAATTCAACAAGATTAATCAATGACTTTTAAGCACAGTAATGGCCAGTGTCCTCAATTTGTTGATTTGTGTTGGAGTTTTTCTCAAACTACTACAGCACGCTTTGGTTTAAATGGCAAATATTAATGCTATGTAGGGTTTATGGACAGCTAAGCAAAACAATGTGACAATATCTGTTGGTGCATGCTAACTATGCAGGAGATCCTGGAGGGTCAGGTGTGAAAAGAAACCCTTGCACCCAGCGGCGATGCTGGTGTGAGAAGGCAGTAAGATGGTTGGAATCGTTAACTGAGGGGGAAAGCTATCCCTAACTCTTCTAATTTCATTACTCTACGTGTTTCCTTAGCTTAAAGCCAATCACATATTTGGCTGCTCTCTAGTGGGGGTCACACATAACAGCCGCTAAATTGTGACAGTGGCCCAGACTGGCATACCTTCGAGCATAATCTGATTATCGGATCAATAACATAGCAACATTTGGTGCATAGCTGGGATAGCTGCCCTCTTCTCTGATTACACATTGCTGGCATTCACCACTCGTTCCCACTTTATAGGTGACAAACTGTGAATGTGAGCAGGAATTCAAATGGAAGGCCTCTTAAATAAGACGAGTCGCGCTGCGTAACCTTGATCACACCTGGCTGTGCTACTGTCTGCTGAATTCACACAGCAACTAAAATATCAGTGTGCAAAATCAGAAACTGATCTAAAAGCCCCGCATCATGCCTACGCTGGCTACTTACTCTTTGCATTCAATTCTGACTCTAATTTCTTGAAATTAATAATAGTATGTATTGTCTCTAAGTATTCAACTCTCTCTGTCCACAGTTTCCTTTAAATTAGTCAGATGTATTATTAATCATAATATCATAT